TCTGCTACCCGCCTAGCCTCATGGTCAGCTAACCGATTTCCAATTTCTGGGTCCGTTTTTCCTTTTCGGTGTCCTTTGCAATGCATTATGGCTATCTTCTTTGGTTGTTTTACAGCTTCCAGTAATTTTAAAATCTCTTCCGCATGCTTTATCTGTTTACCTTGTGCGGTTAAGAGTCCTCGCTCCTTCCAGATTGCACCATGGGCGTGGACCACTCCAAATGCATATTTCGAGTCCGTCCAAATATTTATTTTTTTCCCTTTCGCCAGTTCCAAGGCCCTAGTGAGAGCGATTATTTCTGCCTTTTGGGCCGAGGTACCTGCAGGTAAAGGCTTAGCTTCAATTACTCGCTGGGTGGTGGTGATTGCATAACCCGCTTTTCGCTGTCCTTGTTTTACGAAGCTACTTCCATCGGTGTACCATGATTCCTCAGCATCCTCCAAAGGTTCTTCTTGGAGATCTGGTCGACTGGAATATGTGGCTTCAATGGTCTCTATACAGTCATGTGATACTGGTTCGTCTTGGGCCCCACTAAGAAAAGAAGCTGGGTTGACAATGTTAGTGACTACAATTTCCACATCATCTTGCTCTACCAGCACGGCTTGGTATTTTAAAAATCTTTGAGGCGAAAGCCAGTGGCCTCCTTTCTGTTCCAGGACAGTCGAGACAGTATGGGAAACTAGTACTGTCATTTTCTGTCCCAAGGTGAACTTCCGGGCTTCTTGGATGTTAGTCACAACCGCAGCTACTGCGCGAAGACACCCCGGCCATCCTTTACTTACTTCATCTAATTGCTTGGAGAAGTAGGCCACCGCTCGTTTGTATGGGCCAAGTCTCTGGGCTAAGACTCCCAAAGCTATTCCCTGCCTTTCATGGGAAAATAGCCAGAATGGCTTTGAAACATCCGGTATTCCTAGGGCAGGGGCCTTCATTAACTCTGATTTAAGCTGTTTGAAAGCAGCCCGTGCTTCGTTAGTCCAATTTATTTTTGACTGATTGTCTTTAATTATCTCATACAGGGGTTTTACTAACAACCCATAATTATATATCCAAAGGCGGCACCAACCTGTCATTCCCAGGAATGTCCGTAATTCTTTTGTCGTCTGGGGTTCCGGGGTGCGACAAATGGCCTCTTTTCTCTCATTTCCGAGTTCCCGTTGTCCTCCCGAAATTTCCAATCCCAGGTAGGTCACACGTTGTCGAATCAACTGGGCTTTCTGTTGAGAAACTCGATATCCATTTAGTCCCAAAAAGTTAAGGAGACTTACAGTCCATTCCATACAATTCTCTTTAGTTTCAGTGGCAATTAGAAGATCGTCCACATACTGCAATAGAGTCCCTTTATTATCTGGAGGTACCCAAGCCTCGAGCTCCCTAGCTAATTGGTTTCCAAAAATAGTGGGACTGTTTTTAAAGCCTTGCGGTAACACCGTCCAGGTTAGCTGAGTCTTTCTCCCCGACTCCGGATTTTCCCATTCAAAGGCAAATAAGCTCTGACTCTCAGTGGCTAGTGGTAGACAGAAGAAGGCGTCTTTTAAGTCCAGCACGGTAAACCAGAGCTGATTATCCTTTAACTTGGTAAGCAGCGTATATGGGTTAGCTACTACCGGATGTATATCCTCGGTTATTTTGTTTATTGCTCTTAGATCTTGGACTAGTCTATAGCTGCTCCCATCCGCCTTTTTAACCGGTAATATGGGAGTATTATATTCGGATTCACATTCAGTTAGCAACCCATATCGCAAAAATCGATCAATTATTTCTTTTATTCCCTTCCTATCTTCCAACCTTAAAGGATATTGTTTTATCTTTACCGGCTTAGATTCTGATTTTAATTTAATCACTATGGGAACAGCATTTTTGGCTCTCCCCGGGACTTCGGTGGCCCATACTCCTGGATATACCTGATCAGTTATTTCTGGAGGTATTTCAAGTTCGGATTGTGTTTGCAATAATGCCAAACTTAGAATTTCAATTAATTGCTTTTCTTTGATTTGGAATTTTATTTTCCCTTTTTCAAAAATGATGTTAGCTCCTAGTTGTTCTAACAAATCTCGACCTAATAAGGGTTTGGGAGAATTTGGCAGATAGAGAAATCTATGTATCCCCACTTGTTTACCTAATTTATAGCTGAGAGGTTTCAAAAAA